ACTATATTCTTAATAACTTTAACTAGATAATGATGAGAGTAAATATTACATGATTTTGTAGCATTTAAATTTACTTAACAAAACTAAGTGCAAATTACTATGAGTATTTTTTTCTAGTAAATCTTACAAGTTCCTTTTTACAGTGTAGTTTTGTTCCAGACCCTTACTCCCACGTCTAAATTCCTTTTTCTTTAACCTGCCAGGGAGGAATTCTGTTAAACATCCCCAAGAAGCCTCTTTGTCCGCTTTGGAGACAAATCATATTAAAGTGCAGATCAGAAGGGTAATATCTTGGGATTGTAAGCTCTAAGAAAAGCATAACCTGAGGTTTCTTGGCTTTATGTCTGGAGCCTTACACGACTGGACAGATTTTGTGGGGAATCTCTTTTGCTCTGGGAACTCAGCAAGCTTACAGAAGGGCCAGTTGGATGGAAGAAAGAATGGAGAACGTGGGAGAGCAGGCACCCCAAGGTTTAAGGCTGCATTTCTCACCAAAGTTAAAAAAAAGTTTGGGGAAGACTTTCATTTTGGAGTTATGTTACCATTTGTAACTCAGTGGGTAATGACTGGAGGAAAAAAAATAGAAGCAAAATTTGAAATTCAGTCACCAAAGACATCTTCTGACAGTRTCTGGGTTCATGAGAAGAGTTCAAAATAGAGCCTCAGGTCTGCAGTTTTGTCAAGCTTTTGGGTGTGTCTGCTCAGGTGTTGTTCAAAGAACAAATGTGGAAAGAAATACTGAAGAAATGAAGCTTTTTGGTTAGCTTGGAAATCAGATCTTTGCAATCCAGATTAAGGTGGTGGAAAACGAACAAGGAGATTGATGAAAAGGTTCAAAATGGGTATAAAATAATGGCACAGATGTGATCAAAAAAGTGTCAGATTGAAGAAATTTGGTCAATAATGAGAGATTAGATGAAAGGGGAAAGAGAAAGGTCAGTGTTAATTGATGACGGTGAGTGTAGGGAGATGTTTTAAGTATTGTGATCAAATGGAAATGAGCATAAAGCTAATCAAGACCATTGTATAGGGTGAATAGAGGGAGGGGTTAATCAAAGATGGAGAACAGAGAAAGGAGAGAGATAAAATGAGTTATTAATGCCTGGTTTAGACAGAGTTAAAAAATACAACAAAAGAAACTATAGAGCGAAGAGGCAGACAGATCAGGAGGAAAGAAAAAAGATGGTGGGAGGAAGATTCGAGACGAATCAGATGCTAAGTGTCCTACCAGGACATCATCATTCTGTCTCTCCTCATTTGTTTTCATTAACGAGCATGTTCTAATAAAAGAGTAATGACTCTTAATTGCTCCGACTAAGCAAAATTTAAAATGACTTGAGCGCCTCAAAGCTGATGAGCAAAGAAAACATAACCAAGATGCAGAATTTTGAGAACTTATCTAACCTTTTGAGATGCGCACACCATATAGTTGAAACTGTAAGTCACTAAAACACACACACACACACACACACACACACACACACACACA